CCTCCTTGCTCCGCCCTTGACCATGCTCTGCTCTTGACCTCCTTGCTCCACCCTGGGCCTCCTTGCTCTTCCCCTGGCCTTCTTGTTCTGTGCCTCCAGCCTGCTGGCATCTCACTGCTCAGCTAGTGGGAGCCATGGGAGTGGCTGTCATTGCTGAGCAGGGCATCAGCAGCACCGTGTGACAGGCTCCTTGGTGTGGAGGGCACTTGGTTAGTGAAGCCCAGCCCAGGAATGCCCATGTCTCTCCATCTGGGATGGGGCCTGGGAAGGGCTCTGGAGCAGGCACTGGAGAAACAGAGAGGCCCAGGGTCCCTGGCCACACTGGAGCCAGACGGGACTCTCCCCAGCTCAGGGGTGTGGGGGAGTCAGATGGACAAAGAAGGGTATGTGTGTGTTATGTGAGGCAGAGGGCCCTGAGCTGGGGTCACAGCAGTGATGGAGACAACCCCAGGCCCTGTCTTTGGGGGGCCCCCGGTACTGGGGTAGAGACAGACATATTCTCATCTAGTGACAGCTCAGGATGGTGATGGGGATACAGGGCAGTGAGGGGGGACGGAGGGGGTGAGAGAAACCCGGGAGGGGGCGACGGGGCCCGTGGAGGTGCCTGACTCAGCCTGGTAGGGGGAGGGAGGGCTTCCTGGAGGAGGGGGCATCTGAGCCAAGACAGAAAGAATGAGGTACAGCAAGCTGGAGGAATTCAGATCAACCTGTGGAGTCTGTGCCTGTGTCCTCTGTCACCACCTTTCTGCGGTGGCTGCTGTCCCCTTCCTTTGCAGTGGCTGAATGTCTACTTTGTGACCAGCCCTGCCTTAGGCAGAAACAGAGCAGCAAGGAGGAGAGGCCGAGGAAGGAACGTGGAGGGAAGCCTGGGGAGCAGGGAAATTTCCACTGGAGTGGGCAGCCCGTGAGGGCAGGGGTGTGCTCTGCCTTGCTCAGGGCCGCATCCTGGCACCTGGAGTAGCGCCCCGCCCACAGCAGGCACTGCAGGAAGCGAGCACAGAGGAGGGCAGAGCAGCTCTGGAATTGAGATGGGGGCAGGGACCCAGCCCAGGGCTTAGAGGAGCCTTCCAGGAAACAGCAGGAATGGAGCTAGCCCTGAAGGACAAGAGTGACCCAGAAGACGACTGAGGGAAGAGCATGGCGGGCAGAGGGAACAGCCATGCAGGATGCCCTGAGCAGGGAAGGTCTGACGTGCTGAGTGATCAAAAGGAAGGCTCTGCGAGGTGGAGGAGCAGAGGTGGGCGCCCCACACCACCAGGGCAAGGAGTACAGATGCAAACGCCAAGGCAACAGGGAGCTGCAGGGGCATTTTTTTTTTTTTTTTTGAGATGGAGTCTGGCTCTGTCACCCAGGCTGGAGTGCAGTGGCTTGATCTCAGCTCACTGCAACCTCTGCCTCCTGGGTTCAAGCGATTCTCCTGCCTCAGCCTCCTGAGTAGCTGGGAACCACCATGTCCAGCTAATTTTTGTATCTTTAGTAGAGACGGGGTTTCACCACGTTGGCCAGGCTGGTCTCGAACTCCTGACCTCAAGTGATCTGCCTGCCTCGGCCTCCCAAAGTGCTGGGAGGCATGAGCCACTGTGCCCAGTCTGCGGGGGAATTTTAACGGGGGAGACAGACCGCCCTTCATAAAAGTCGCAGAGTCTCCTCCACCCCATCCCCCACAGCTCACAAGAGGCTCTGTACAGATGGCACAGGCAGGCACAGCCCCTCAGCTGAGACCCTTGGGGTAACACATGCCCCTGAATTTGAGATGTGCTTGGATTTGAGAGAGTAAGTGTGCAGATGCTGTGTATAATGTAACACACCCAGAAAGGTCAGGGGCACCCCACACGCAGTGGCACGCCAGCGCTCTGCCCCAAGCTCCTCATCGCTAGTACTAAGTAGGGGGACTATGGACCCTAAACAGCCTCACGTCCCTCCAGGCCAGGTTTGCCACCCAGTGCGCATGGTGCAAACTTACGTACTGTCTTTCAGTTGTGGGGGGCTTAGGGGGTGGATAAGGGGTCACAGGGTGCATCTGGGGCATGGCCAACCCCAGCTGGCTCGTGGCTTTTGATGGGGGTGGTGTGCGCAGTACCTGTTTAAGGGGAATGCTTGGTAAATATTTGCTGGGTGATTAAGGAGTGGACAAGTCACACCATGCACTGCCCCCAAGTGTGGCAAACATAGGGGGAGTCAGGGAAGCAAATAAAATGCTCATGAAGCAAACCGCTTGGTGCTGGAACGGGTGGGAGGGTTGGGGGGTGCTGGGGCAGCAGCTAGGCAGCCCCATTCCCCAGACCTGTACCCTGAGGGTGGACTTCCTCTCTGGTCTCAGGTGACTCCAATCCTTGGGTGCTCCTGACTCCCAGGTGACCCTCTGATGCTTGGCCAACAATCCTTGCTCCTTGGGTGACACCTGGTGCCCCACCATCAGGCCCTCCGAAGTTCCTGCGAATCCCATTCCTCCGAGATGGCCCCGACACTGATGACCTCTAGCCTTTGACCTCCAGGTGAGCCCCTGCTCAGGCATCCCCACCTCCCAACCTTGGGGTAAATACCGCGCCAGTCCCATGGGGCCCGGGCTCACATTTCTTCTCAGGGAAGCTGCTGCCAGTGGCTGGGGTGGCGCCGGGGCCGCCGGG